TCTATTATTTAATATTTATTTATATTTTTCAATATTTATATATAAACATTGATAATATTTAAAAATTTAGAAAATTTTCGAATATTTTTTTTTGTATATTACACAAATGTTAATGCAATATAACTTATTAAATCAGATATTTATTTCCAGTTTTACAATAATCTTTTTAATATTGCTTTTGTTTCATATTTTTTGAAATCTAACGCCTATAATTTTAGAGCTCAAAACTTTTATAAGCGAAACATGATGTCATTGGTAGCAGCAAACATAGTAGGAGTTATTATAGTATTTGCAGTGGAAACAATATTAAAGGTATTAAAATTTTATATTTTATTAACAATACATATAAATATATTAAAATAATTTTTTATAGTACTTGATTCTTGTTATACAGTATATTAATTTTATATAGTACAAATGAGATCTTTTTATTGTCACACATTTCGATTAAATCATAATCTCAAAATCAATCTATGAAAATAGTTTTATGTTGTACTACTTTTAAAAATTCATTTTATGTTAAATAAAATTTATTGTAAAAAATAACAACAAAATATTATTTATTGTTAAATTTTTTGTCTTTTAACAGGTGCTCTTGTATACAAAACGAAGTAATTCAACCTGTGCAGCTTTTAAAAGATATGTCGAAACTGCATTACATATAAATAACTTATATACTCATGATCCAAATAATTCAGATTCCAAGTAAGTTTTTTCCAATGTTTACAATTTTTTTCATACTCGTATTTCTTTGTGTTTTATTATACATGATACATACAAATAAAATATCATAAGATCTTATTTTTAAAATGCAATCACATTTTTATTTATAATATAAATTATACGTAAAGCAACTTTTAGATATTACACGGATTTTTTAACAGAATAAAAAAATTACGAAAAAGTCACAGTTTTTCAAATACAATCACTTATAAAGTATATAGATTTTTTACATGTTTTAATGAAAAAAATAAACAATAACAGAGGAAAGTCGCCGATACTGACATAGATCTCCTAAAAAATAAGACACCCCCTTACTTCTCAGAAATTAACTATTTGCACTTTATTAATACTATTAAAATCATCTGTTTAGCTAATTAAAGAAGTACAAACTCATGTATTTGTGGCTTGTTCTATACTAAATCAACTAAAAACGAATGCAAAAATAAAATTCTTGTGATTTTCTTTTGCAAATTGCGTAGTTTATATAATAATAACTATATTATTGATAATATTACGTCATTTTAAATGCTTGTAATTTCCTAAATCAGTTTTATTCATATCATTTTTTTCTTAATACGATTTTTAATTTAAAATTGGGGTGCAGCGTAAACCGCCATACTAGTCTGTAAAACAGATCATGAGCTAACTTAATCTTTATAATGTTGCTTTATAGTGTAAAATAGCTATATTGGAACTGAAAACAATCGTGTATATATCGAAATACTCTTGAAAAATTATCGCGTTACATATTTGCATCTTATAGAACAACATAAATAAGTAAATATGCATATAATTCAATAAAAATATTTTATAGCGAAAAAAGAGAGAGATTCTGAAATATCTTATATATTCACTTGTAGATACTTTATACAAATAATTCCTGTAAAAGAAAAAGAATAGGAATACGTATTACTATCTATTGTGTCAGTTTTAAAGCCCATTTTATTAGACGCTCATTTTTGCTTATCATAAAAAAAAAATTAATTGTAGAATTGTAAACAGTATCATAAAAACTACTCACTATCTGACTACTGCTACTATCTGACGGAAGACACTTTTTAGTTATGTTTTTTTTTACCTTTTGTTTGAAAAATATTGTCTAAAAATAAAGTGGTATGTCGGTAACTTTCTAAATTATATAATATATTCATTATTAATTGAAAAAATTATTTTCATCAGTTTTTTATTCAATTAAAAAAAAACTTTTAGTTCTAATAAGTAATATTGCAGAACTTACATCTTTAAACTCTTGATTACGTAAGACTTAACGTACATTAACATATCAACTTTAGTAAAGGGGCACGTGTCATTCTTGATTATATAACATACTGATATAAACATATATTTATAAAGATTCATAGTGATATCACTTTAAAAAATTATTTTTAAATATAAAAAAATGTAAAATCTATATTTTGCGAATAACGATCTACGTAGATTGAATTGGATTGCTACGTCAATTTCTGCCTTGCTGTGACTGAGTTGATTAATAACAGAACAGCAAAAAGTAGTGAAGATGAATTTCGTATTTGCTTATTTATTCGCAGAGATATCTTCCATAAGCTCTTTACAAATTTCTCAGTTCAATTCATTGTATATATAGATCGCATCTATGTATAATACATCTTGCATGCTGTGACATCATTCTGCGTCCGTGCCATTTGCAAATTATGTAGAGGCAGCTTAAAATATAGTTTTTTTTTTTTTTATATAATTCTTTCTTTGTAATACTTGTTTTTAATATCTAAATTTTAAATATCTTTAAAACAATTTAAACAATTTAATAAAACCTGATAAATGCCTATAAATAAATACAAATTAATTACGAATATATTCATAATATAATAATAAAATTCAGTAAATATTAAACTGCCTCTATATAATTCGCAAATCGCAAAATATAATTTGTAAACGCAGATATAGAATATTGTATTACCGAAACGCAAAAATCGAACTGCGATAACATTGATATTTTAAAATGTTGAATTTTTTTTTAATCAGATTAGAGGAACTTGCTATATGTTTAATATTTTCCGTATCACGGAAATTTATAAAAAAGGTAGCTCTCTGCTGATAAATTAAGCAAATACAAAATTCGTTATCGCTACTCTTTATCACTGTAATGCAGAAGTTGACGTGACAGTTCAGTCCAGTTTAAATTATTAAATTTTCAAAACGCAGATTCATTTTACATTTGCATTTATGATTTACATTTTGCGATTTGTGAATTAAAAAAGCAGTGATGCTTTATGAGAAAATAAAAAAACATCCTTTATTTAATGACCGTTATCCTTCAAATTATGCCCATAGAGACAATACACTGCTGATAAAGTTCGTACAACTTGCGGAAACTGAAAAATCATCTTTGGATATCATTTCAAATCTTATTGTCACATGATTTAAAATATATATACGGCAATACGCAATTCTTGAGTCAGCATTCCATTACAATTTTGAATCACTTTCCTTGTTCCTGCGATTTTGCTCTTTCGCAGATTTCTTTGTTCCTTAAACTAAAAAAGACGATGAAAGGGATTTTACAAACGTTTCGGACATTCAATGACACAATAAGACTTAAGACGATATCCAAACTTCATAGATGACTTATTTCTTAGAGTTTCTCCACAAGCTATACAAACGTTGTCAGACGTGTTGTCTCTAGGGGATTTACTTCGTAGAACGATAAAGGTCATTTGTATTATTTAGACATCGGATTCTTATGCAATTTTATGTTTTTTTAAAAAGCAAATTGGAAAGTAACATAAAAAAAGAAATTTGTTACATTAAAAAAGCATTCTAAAAATGCATATTTATTAGTGCAATTGTGGATATTTGCATATTTGTGCACATTTGCATATTTTGTGCATGTCTGCAAAAAATATCTATATAAAAATTCGATGTATAATTATTACAGTAGTTTAATTGCGTTTATATAAGTCCGTTTCTTATATGGACATAGCATAGAGACATCATCCGTGTGCAACAATGTTTTATAACATTGAAAAGAATTTAAGAAATTATGGAAAATTTGAAAAGAAGAAAAGGCAAACCGCATTTAAGTACAACTGCAGACAATACTTTTATGGTCTTAGCACATTTAGAAGAAAATCCGCACACTTCCATTTGTGCAATTGCTACTGGTTTATCTAAGAGTTCTGTTCATAAGATGGTAAAACAGAATCGTTATCATCCTTATAAAATGATCAAAGTACAACATTTACGTAATATTTGATTCACAACGTTGTCTAAATTTTATAGCATGGCTAGTTGTCATGTACAAAAGTAATCCTGAAATATTACAGAATATCCTATGGATATAATACAGATGAATGTAAGTTCTCAAATAATGGTGTAATTAATCATAATCATCATTTTTAGTCGAAGGATAAGCCATTGGTTCTGAGAACAATTTTCAACAGAAAGTTACAGTGAATGTTTGGTGTGGTCTAGTACTACGGTCATCTGATTGGACTCTACTTTTATGAACAGAATTTGACAGCCCAAGCTTACTTTAATTTTCTTCTCAACTTCCAATATTGTCGCAAGTGCTTCCGATTGATGTTGTGCATCGTATTTATTTCCAATTCCTCGGTCCCCTGATTTATCATCATTAGATTTTTTTCTAATTTTGAAGTCATTTGCAATCAATAGTCTACGCGATATCAGTTCAAAATATGAAACATTTAAAGCAGCGAATCCGTACAGCATACGAAGAAATTCACCGTGACAGCATTATAGGAGTAACTAATGGAAATTTATTACATAGAGAATTGTACCTACAAGAAAATGCGATTACAATTCGAACACTTATTGTAATTAAGGTCATAATATAGCAGATCATTGAACTCGTCTTAACACCAGTTACAATATTATGAAGTAAAAAATGTAGTGCCATTTAAAAAAATTAGTGACCTTGACTTTTTTTTCTAAAAAAGAGTATTTTGAAAATTTTTAATAATGCAATTTGTAGCCGATTGAAAACTGATTAATTTTTATCCAAACTAATTTTTGTTAGATCATCGGAAATACCGGAAAAATCGTGATCACAGATCAATTACGTGAGACACCCTATAGTATATGTATAAAAGGAATGTCAATACATATGATATATATACGATATTCATATTAAATTATATAAGATCCAGCTTTGACAAGTTATCATTAAAAGATCCAGCAACAAGTGCAACATATGCTTTTAATTTATAGATTATTTTTCACATTTAAGGTTTCAAATTTTTATTCCGAATTTTATTACCATACCATATGTATTGACATGTATTGACAATCTTTTTAGACACATGTCGCTTTTTAGACACATGTCATAAAATACTTTATCGTCTCTGAATGTTTGCTTAGTCATGCATTTATGAAAAGTTATTTACTATTTTAAAAATAGATGAATTAGTAGCCACACACTCTATACTAATTAATAGGGATGCACCGGATCATAAAATTATTAAATATCGAATATCGGATATCCGGACGGAATGTAACATCGGATATCCGGTATCCAATTAGATATCCGAGAAGGCAATTTTTTCGAGTCGGATATCCGACATTTTTCGAATATCCGATCGGATTCCGAGAAAGTGTCTTCTAAAAAAAAAAAACCTATAGAGAAAAAGATTGTAATTTTGTAATAATATATAAGATATTATAGCATCGAATATGCATACTTATATGCATACTTATTTTTAGAACATTTATATAAAAAAAAAATCAACAATTTAATGATATCAAATTTCAATCGGATATATTCCCGAACACTAATGATATCTGACTATCCGGTCAGATAGTAAAAAAGTGCCGGATAATCTGGATACTTTTCAGATATCCGATGGATTCCTAATTAATTGTAAATTGTGTTCTGATATACGAAATGAGTTTTCATAAATAAAATATAACTAATAAAATATAATGCGTTAACAAAAAATGTTACAGACACAAAATACTTAACATACATAAAACTTAATAACAGATAGTTTTTTAATTATAGTATATCAAAGGTATCAAATGTACTCACACAGCACTTTTGATACATCGTAGCTCAAAAACTATCTATTATTAAGTCTTGTATTTATGACATCTTTCGTCCATCACATTATATGTATAAGCTACCTTGGTAGCAACTGTCATTTTAACGTTAAAAGACGTTATTTTGACGTAAGCTACCAGGATACATTATATGAAAATTAAACTCATTTTAAGTCCAATTTTCCATATAATTAGTGTGAGATCTTTTAGATGTAGAATTGTATTTAGAAATTTAGAATCGCGCACTGAAAGTATTCTTTCAATTAAGTTTAAATCAAAATTTTATTTAAATATAAAAACTTCTTATATAAGAAGGCACACATATACACATGAACGAATGTTTAAACTTTTAATATTTGCTAGCTGGTACAAATCGATAAACTCAATTCGTTGGCATCACAAAATTAGCACCAGGATGTCAAAGCAGGCTGGAATTGGAGAAATATATCAAAAAGATATGGTACTTACACAATTCAGCTTTGTGGGATACATCGCTATTGCACCTAGGTCTTTTGGACTGAACATGACATTGGAAGAAGAAGAAGCATTTAATCATTTCTGGCGCGTAAATGGTTATATGTTAGGCATCACTGATAAGTATGCATACAATGTTTAATTCTGATTTTTACTAAGCAAGTTTAGCATTTAAGTCTAATATATTCTATCTCTATATAATTTAAATAATTTAAATAATTTATAAATTTGGCAGAGCAATCTCTGCCAAAATTGTGCACACAAGTTATACACTTATAATTTTATTAATTCTATTTATCTTCATCTATAGATTGAATTTATGTCGCAAAAACGCAAAAGAAACTATCGAACTATGTTATAAAATCAAAGATTTATATGGGACTTATTTGAGTAACGGTTCACCTGAATTTTATGAAACAGCGTTACAAACGTTAAATGGATTATGGTTTATTGATATAACCGCGGATATAGATTCTTTCATGGCATTCGTTTTTAAATTACATGGACTCCCAGGTAAATATTCAATTTTCGCAATGATTAGAAATTATTATTTCGATAATTTCTATTTATTGTTTTTTTTTTTATAAATAATATATCTTTATTCTTTTCAAATATTTTGATTCTAATATATTGCCGGCAAAAAATCAGTTACTTTTATTAAATCAAAAATTATTAAAAGTTAAATAAAGTCAGATCAGATTGAAATATTTTTTTGGTAATTGTTGAAAACAATGGATCCAGCTCGGATGGCCTTGACGTATATAATCAAGTTCATGAGTTCCCGAGTTCACAAGATTTTATTCGTTATTGGATCGATCATATCATATTAGATCAATCATAATCTTGATAACATTATATGTCTAGATCATCGAAGCTAGGTACGTTGTTTTCAACATTTATTTTTTTTTATTAGAAACCAAATTAGTTATTAAAATCATTGTAATCTTTCAATTTGATTTGATTTGATGTTTGTTGTAACGACTATTGTCTGCAAGATTAGATACTTTTAATTTAATTACTTTCGTCAACACTAATAATATATTACAATTGTCAAAAATAATTTATATTCCAGATAAAAAGATTGGGTGGCGTAGTTGGTTAATTATGAAATATCGTGAATGGTTATTTTATTTGTGTCGTAAGTATTGTACAAATATTTATTTGATATTTTATTTGATATTTTATCCATATGCTATATCATATGTTGATTTGTTCTCTATCTTTTTTAGTTGTGCCTTATATCAGAGTAATAGTAAGAGCATACACTAATTTATTTATTCAGCTCGTATTGTGGAATGCATATTACTGTCCTATACTTGCGTGGATAAGATTTGGGAAGAATAATGCTCGAATCAACCTATATCCTAAACACTAACAACCTCGATTTTACTAACAATTTATTGCATTTATATAAATCAAATTTAACTTTTAAAATATTTTAACATGTTATTAATTATTATATACATCATACACTGAGAAAAAAAGTTGTTAACTTAACTAAAGAATTAGTTCGTAGTGATCATTTAGTTCAAATATTTATATATTTAAGTAAAATATATATGATTATGTAATATGATTACATATGCGATTATATGATGTCAATATATTTACTTGAATTAACAAATAATTTAATTAAATATTTGCTTGACAGTCCGTGAAAGCTGCATTTAGTTGAATCAATTAATTTTACTTTTTTGAAACAGCAACTTTTTTCTCTCAGTGTGATATAAAAATATAAAGTATTCTATTTTCGAGGATGCGTAATTATCTCAAATACAGCGGCTGCTTTTTGACCAATCAAAACGTTGCCTCAAATTGTAAAAAGCAGCATGATATCATGTGTATTCACTAATTTAGGAATAACGAAATATCTTATATTCTTATAATATATGCGATTATATACATGTTTTAATCCTTTGACTGCGAAAAAATGCGGCGCAAAACATGCATTGTAGATCTCGATGGTAATAAAAATGGTGCTAATAACATAGTGACTTTTTGTATTTATTCTTTAGAAAACATAGTACAAATTGTTAAAATGTAAAATTTTGATTTACAATAAAATTGATGTTTTAATCAATTTTTATTTCTTTATTTAATTTCGTAATATAAACATTAAAAGCAATTCATTTTCTCTCTCTCTCTCTCTCTCTCTCTCTCTCTCTCAAGTTCTCAGCTCTCTTATCAGGGACGTAATGACTTTCTTTGCATATATGCACTGACATATAAAATATACCTATAGTTTTTTTAACACTGATTCTTGGTAAATTTAAACCTAGATCTTTGGTATAAAAAGCAGCCACACAACTCTGATTGCATATAATTAATAAAGTTTTATTTCAAAATTCACTGTTAGCGCTGAAAATCTCATAGTATGTACAATACATGTAACATAAGATATAAATTTTTAGCTGACAGTTAATTTTAGAACATATTCAAAATATAAAGCATAAACAATATTTAGTATTTTTTACTATGTAACATAGATAACAAATATATCAAACGTATTATAAACACCAACAGTACAGTATAGATTAACTTAAAATTAGGTTTATAGTGCCAACGGCAATAAAAAAGTAAATATTTGTATTGATTTGTAACGTCGTAACACTCGTAACCAAATCATTGTTATAAACCATTTTCAAAAAAGTAACGATAACAATAATAAAGTAATGCGTTACTTCTCATTCCTAGACTATTGAATGGTAATAAGTCTTTGCTTTTATATGATTTATACAATAATATGAATTCTTTTATTTATTATATTACTTTATATGTTACTTAAACATATCGTATTTTTAAGAATACATTTTTCCAATATAGAATCGATGCAGAATCGTTTATATTAATATATTAACTATAATATGATATTTTATTGCCGAAAACTATAATTTTGTTTATATATGTAAATAAAGAATATATATTTGAATAATTTATTTAAACATTTATTAATTTGTATTTATTACTCAATAGTAATTAATTGTTCAAGGAATAATCACGAACATGTACAAATTAAATCAAGAATTTCTATTATAAATTATTATAGAAAGACTTTTTACAAAAATAAAATTTTTATACATTAATAGTATGTACTCAATTAATTAAACAAGTAATTGAAGTAAAACGATGTTAATTAAATTAATTTATATAGCTTATCAATTGAGCCAAATACCGACACAGGCCTCTTAATTATCTGCTATTGCTGCGAGCAAAGATGAAAGAAATATACACCTACCGTCAGATAGCGTTACAAGTCTTTTTGTTTAATATATTGAATAAAAAAAATCTATCTATTCACTACATTTTATTTTTGTTACAGAAGAATTATATTAACAAACTCTTATATTTCAATTCGTACAGATTTTTAAGTGAAAATTTTTTTTTAAGTATAGTGTATTATTTACACATAAATTAGCAAAAACTGGAGTTTATAGGAATATCCAAAATAAAACGTGAATTTTTTATCACGCATTCTTTTAGTTTGCATCAGTAATAAATTTCACGTTATCTCATGACCGTTTAGGAATGCTAAATTTTAAAGAAAAAAAATAATATAATCACATTGTATTCTCATGACAACATTTCACGAGTAGTTGTTTACTAAGGTAACCAACAGATCGGATTTGATTATATCAAAATAGAGACTATGGAGAGACTACAGAGAGAGAAATCAATTTTCTGTCCAGAAATTTCAAATAGCTCTCACTGTAAAGCGAGACATGATGCTTAGCTGCTCAATTCATTAGCGCATACATCAATCATTATATACATATAGCATTTGCGTTTTCCATAAAAATAATTGCTATGTTTAAACATAATAAGTGTGGTATTTAAACATAAACCAATTGCCAATGGATTATTATGATTACAAATTATTACTTACACAAGTGTATACATTCTGTGTTCATTATTATGTTTAAAACAAATACGCGATGCAAACTTGATATAATCTTTCCATATCATAATATTACAAGATTATAATAAACAGTTGAAACAGATTCATTAAAATCATGAAATTCTTTGAAACAGAATTTCTTTTCGACTCTAAAATTTAATTTACGTAATCAATATCATTTTCGGTACCTCGTATTCGTGGAGTGTGCTCTTCCACAACACATTATGTAATAACGTTTCCATCACATTGTTCACAGAGATGATATCCTGCATGTTCCGCACAGAATTTTCCCCTCGTTTGTCCGCTTATGAGGATTCTCGCCGCGATCTTGAACGGTGTCCTCTCGCCATACAATCACGAGGGATCATTTTTACGCATCTCGTGTGATTCCAGATCCGCAGGCGTGTTCGATTCGAGCTGGTTAGAGCTTCGCTCGCGTACGAAGTGAGCCTTCGCACACGTATGCAGTGAAAGAAAGAAAGAAAGAGAGAGAGAAAGAATAGGAATGAGAAAGAGAAGAAATCCCCTCGGCGTTCGTGTGTAACGCTCTTCTCTCGCCCGCATGCATTCACACATCGATAGACGCGCGCTCGTATATACACACACACACCTGCTCTCTATCTTTCTTTCTCTCGCTCTCTCTCTCTTTCTCTTTCTCGCTCTTTATGTGAACGACGACGACGACGACGACGACGACGAAGGAGTATGTAACGCGCGGGTCCAAGTACATAATACACAGCCATATATCCTTCTGTCCCGCAGCTACTCTCCCTCGACCCTGTCGCCTCTTCTCGATTCCTCTCTTCGTTCGTTCCTTGGCTCTCGCCGATCCTTTCCCCTCGGCTGCCACGGTGCCGCTGCCGTCGCCGCCGCCGTCGCCGCTAGCACGACCTAAACGAGATGACTCGCCGCGCCGTGAGGACAGGACGGCGCGCTAAGGCGGGGAAAGGGAAGATAGAGCGTGGCGATGATGAGGAGACGGTCGGGATCGGGGACGAAGGTATCAGCAGAGGCCGTCCGAAGGAGAGAAGGAAGAAGCCGGCCCTCCGGCCCTTGCGTATAGCACAAAGAGATCCGTGCGCGCGGCCGACTCTTCTAAAGCTCGATTCATACGACGGTCTCGGGGGTCTCGGGTCTCCAACCACCGTTCCTCCTCGTCTCACGAAATCGCTTTGCGCTGCTTTGCGCCGCTGTAAATTGCGAACGCCACCGCGCCGCGCCGTATCGCTCGCTTCCGTCACCCCGTCCCCTCCTCCCCCCGTCGTCATCCCCATACCGTTCGAGGACGAGGCGACGGGGAAAGGGCGACCCGCGCGTTAGGACACCCTACGGTCATACGTCGATACGTGTTTCTCGAGGGAATGACGCGCGTGGAGTCGCGTTATTTCGAGGAACCGGGCCGCGACGAAAGTGGCCGGGTGTAAGATTGAAGATACGTATATTCATCCGTCGTTCGTGAGTCGTGGGTCGAAAATTAATAGCTTCTCTGTTCATGTAGACGGGTCTTGTCTTTTGGCCTTCCAGAGGGGATTGAACTCGTGAAAAATGAAACGGCAGGTATATTACGGCGCGATATACTTTTTACCCTAGATAGAAAACGTGCGTACGGAGATTATCAACCCGTACGTCAAATCGTTTCGCTGTTGTTTCGTATGTCTCCAACGGACATTGCGAATATTTCGCAAAACGCGCGCCGATCGTATACACAATTTCCTGCAAATTATGATGCACGATCTTTGAGTAGCAAGATCGTATTTAACGGTATCGTAATTGCCAACGTGGCCGAGACACGAATTTATCTCACCGGCGCGGCGCCCGTCCAATTTTCATCGCGACCTTACAGACTTGGTTGCGTTTATATTAGAAAACGTAAAAAATCGCAGCTGCCTGCGCGTCGCATGCACGTTTCGTGAGGCATGAATAAAGTAGACGTTACTTCGCGTTTGCCGTTTGCCTTCCCTCCCCCGAGGGAAGAAAATTCACTTCACCGAGCGCGGTATAGCCGAGGTAGAAAACGTAGACGTTTCTATTTTCACGAAACAGATTATTCACGATTAAGCGCGCCGGCACGATTCTGGCCGGCGAAAATATACGCGAGATTGTATATAGATATATACATACAAATATATATATATATATACACACACACACACATATATATATATATATATGTATATATATATATAAACGTATATTTCTATCTCGCGCTACATTAGTCAGCTTCGTACACAAGTTACAAATAGGATTGCAATATCGACACTGTCGGGTATCGATAATGTTAGCAGCAATATTGGAGGGAAGTATCGACGCGAGTGTTACATCGCCGGAAAGAAAGTATTGATAACGACTTGCGTGTATGACGCAAAACATATATTTGGACTAGATGAAGTTTATGAAAAGTTCACTTTAAGCTTTAATATCATGATTAAAGTGAACCTTACAATCGACACAGTTTCGTTGCGTCAGCATTGCTAATCACAAAGATCGCCATTAAATAATCTATAATATCGTTGATATTAATTTCGCTAGATCAGTTAGATGATTTTACTAAATTAAACGTTTTTTATCGGACGAGCGATACTATTCCATTAAGATTTTCACGACATCGTGAAAAAGATTCTTTATACACTAATTAAGAAAAAGATACTTAAAGATTTATTTATGAGATACAACGTTTATTTTACTGAAATAAATTCTTATTTAAATACGGCGAAAGAAAATGTTGTTTTTAATAAATAAACCTATTCTCTATCTATTACCTATTTTATTTTTTACAATTAATAAGAGAATTAAGACATATTTCAGAGACATGTATATTTCGTCATCACAATCAAATTTTTTAATTAATAATAAATATTTTTCATTAAACTATTATCCAATAAATATTTTCTTACTATATACTGAGAAAAAAAAGTCACAATTTCCCGGTGTATAATGAGAACAAAAAAGTTGAGGAGAAAGAAACACCAGCGAATGCGGTTACGTGCTGTCAATATCGCGATCATGATCGATGAACAAGGAATGTCTTTGGACCTATCGCCGCTTTCTAACAGCTTACTCTGACTGCTCTCGGTTAATGAACAGATTAGCATGTTATCT